AATTTGCTTGGGAATGAGCGGTGATAATGCTTAGCTATATTCGCGATATCAATTCAGAGCTCGAACTGAACGAAATATTTGAAAAGTTTTCATACTTATTCCAGCGAATATTTGGGTTTGCCTATATTTTTGGTATTTTTAAAAGTTTGTTGCTGTTCCTCTCAATTCAATTAGAAAAGTGAACTGGTTTCGGCAAATGTTGCTTTTATACTTGTACTAAAAATTCTTAAATGAGATATACGAATTTTAAACTCGTCTCCAGATTGGGCTATTTATTCAAAGTTTCGAATGAATAAAAATGATAAAATAATACACATAATTAAAAGAACAAATATAGCAAATATAGCAAATATGTAAACAAACCCGAACCGGTGCAATAAGCGTACGCAGCACCCTATGCCGTAATTCATTATCGATCTACACTCTTCTCCTTTGGTTTTGGAATTGAAGATACTATCGGCGGATAGTTGTGCAAAGAGCATAGATTGAACCAGTTAGTGTTCCGCTGACATTTAAAGTAGTTTACGAGTAACTATGCCAAATTTTGACATTTCGGATCAAGTGGGCGAGTTCTCTAAACTGCTAAGTCATTCATACTTTCTCTTTTTAATTTGGTTTGTTGTTCTCTAACATCGTGTTATTGCCTTTATTTGGGTGTAAAGTGATAATTCATTTTTCTGGTAGGTCATTAACCAAATTTTTACTGTAAACAAAGTCAACATTTAGTTGACAAAATTTTTTTGCTTTAGGTTAGTGCATAATTCCTATAACTCGTTGCGGTCATGAGTACCTACCTATAAGACTGAGTAACATTTGTATATATATATGCTTGTTATCCGGTATTCTCTCTTAATTTAATTATTTTTCTTAATAATTTTAATATTTTATTGTTAAAAAATATGTAAAGTATTATTTATTATAATTGGTATTAGCAACATTTGGAATTTCTGTGCTTAAATTATAGCTGACAATTAATGTATAAAACTTAGATTAGATAAAATAAAATATACACTTAAAACAAAAGAATATAAACAGACTTCTAATTAAAAACCAATTTGTTATGCAAGTCTCCGTTGGGTGCATTAAAACCGAAACCATTCTGTAGATTTCCAAGTGGGAGTTTCAATATGCGGAAGTTGATCTCATTTGGATTCTGGGTGCCAGTTGCAATTTTCTGAAATAAAAATCATATTAAATATATTTTTTAATAATATAAAAATAAATACATTTTTACCTGAAAATCTATTCAGGAAATCATCCACAAGTTACTCTCGTGAGCCTTCATTTATTTTTCAACAACTTTCATTCACTTACAAAATTCAAAAGATAATTTCTGGTCCTACAGGAATTCTCGGAAATATTTTGCTTGATAAGGTGTGTTAACATTCCAACTTAACAATTTGATTGGATTAAGTGTGACGCCGTAGATATTTCCTATACTATCAATTGCCTCTGCAGCACATTCGCTATTTCTTTTGCCCAATGATCTGAACTCATTTGGTGAAGATTCTAAATTATTTTCCCAATTAGCACGATTATCTAATACACTTAACGGCACTGAATACTCCGATTTGCTGGCTAAAGGATGGAAATACAAATTTTTCTTATCGCTGGCCATACCAAATATGCCATCCATGAGATTGAAACTTTCGCCAGCAATGGTATGTGTGCCATAATCAGGGTCAGGGTACATAAATTTATTTTCTGCACGCCAAGCCATATTTTGTGCATAATTGTATATAACAAGTCCATGGTAGGAAACATCAGCCACATAAACCATGGAATTTTTACAACTTCCACGTGGCGGTGGATCGCTTACAACCGAAACGGGCGTTATAAATAACGAAGCGCTGGGTATGTAAGTATTATTAGCAAAACGAAATCGATGTAATAGTGTATCTGTGTTTAAGTCAAACAGCAGCAGCTGTGGTGGACACATTTGTTCACTGCCAATTATGCCCGAATCGATTACCCACATTTGATTGCATTCATTCAACTGCAAATAAAAAGGTGTAAGTGTTTAATCCTCTAATGTGTACTATTCTTTGATATTAATAAGGGTTAAACATTTACTAACCGCAACTCTGAAAGCCGATGTGATGCCATCACAATTTGTTCCATGACTATTGTGCAAATCATAGCTCGGATAAGGCTGTAAAATCGGGCCTCCACGATTACGAGCAATTACCGTGGCTAGTGAATAGGGTATTCCACCTTGGAACCGTGGTATGGTAACAAATAGTCTGGAGTTCGATTTTGCTATAATGAAAATGAATACATTACAATTTTTTTACAATTTTTTTTCTATATATTAACGTACAATATACAGGCATAACATCGATTGGCACTCCATTAATTGCTACTAAATTTCCATTTGCTATGGCAGTTTGACGATCAGTTTCGGTTGGAAACCCGTACTCAAGTACTTTCCATTGGTAAACAACTTCAATGTCGTTCCTTAATGGATTGGATGGATTTAGTCCATAGCAATTCGCTACTAACACCAAGCAGAACATATAAACCAACATTACTGCCACTCTGATATTATACATACTGAAATGTTATTTCCTAAACAGCAAAGGAAAAGAATTTGTCAAAATATTAAGTAATTAAAAAATGAAAAAATTTTTTAAGATTCTTAAAATTTTTTATATTAATCACATTAACTAAAAATGAGTGCTTCATTTCAATGTAATAAGCTTAGTACTCTACAACATACGTGGGGTGATTCTTTTTTCGATGTGGATTTGCGAAGGAAATGTACGAATAAGTTATATTTCTTTTTAGAGAAATATCCGACTAAATAATACTTAATTGCTTATATTACTTTGTACATAACGAAATTACTGACAATTATTTATTTGCTGGTTGACTCCGGTTACTAATACTGGGGTGTACTGGTACTAACATATGGTAAGCGTTTTAACCTTTTTGTTGCAAATGACAGTTAGGGAATTTAAATTAATACGACAATATCATTCTGTTACAAAATTATTTACAATCTATTGATATTGTATTGCTCCTCAAAATATATGGAGATATCAGATAGAATATTTTATATAACGATGAAATAACACGTATGGTAATTATATTTCAGAATGTTTACAACTACTAGAAGTTCCTTAAAGATTTCAATGATTTATTCTATAGTATTTATATATTCTATAATCGTAACTCAATTCTAAGAACATTCCAAAAATTCACATAGAAAAATATTTAAGTAAAAAAACAAAAACGATTAATAACAAAAACATTTATAATATAAAAATAATATAAAAATTTTTTTAAGGGCTTTCCAAGTCGTTGATGAGTAAATATTATTAAAGTCTTGTATTTCTTTGAATTGAATTTGTGAATTTTATTATTTTTACTGTCTAAACAACAAATTTTAAAAAGGTCAAGCACAGAGTTTACTTAATAAGAAACGTCATATTCCGATAAGAATCGTGCAGGGTCGTAACAAACATAATTTATTGAAGGAAAAACACAACGAATAAATTTCATTTAAAATTACCTATTAACTCCATTTTCCTAAATTTGTTTATACTAGTGCTATATCTTCAAAACTGATAGTTGTGGACTCGTAACTTAATATAGTACTATTTATACTGTATAGATTACTATTATCATGTATTGGTTCAAGTTAGTGAAAAGTGTTTTTATGTAAAATATGCAATATGTTATAGTTTAAAAAAGCATTATATCGACACTTTTTCGATACGGTACTAACCCTTGATCAATTTTTTATATATTTTTGCGGGTGAACATATCCCAAAACTGCCAAATTATGGCTAGTGGTGACATATATCTCCCTAACCTTGCCTCTGCTAAACCAAGTGGTATAGCCTAATAGATATATGATATATAGATATATGTCACCATTAGGCAAAAAATACATCAGGGACAGAGCTCTGAAGCGATATGCGAAAACCGACGGCTGCCCTACTTAGCATTATTTAATCTCAGAGTAATCACTAACCGCACGGGGCGGTACGCAGATCTTAGATCAATCATTGAATAATAACGAAGATTATGAAGAATACTCAAATTAGTCAGTGAGATATGTGGGACTTTGCAGAAATCCCCCAGTCATCATATAGTAAAAGTGCACAGATGCACTAATTCGGAAAAAGCTCAACATAAGACTAACCCTTGGGTCAATATAATAATAAGTGCTCAATCATTTTGATTAAATCAAGCGCTTTAAGCTGTTTAGCTTACCGAGGTGTTCAAATACTATTTATAAATTAATTTCTAATATTAATTTAATAAAATAAATTGATTAACTCTATTAAATAGCTCCAGTGTAAACTCACCTATTAGATAATAGGTGCATAATTTTGGGTATTAACGGCTTCCCACAAAGTGATAGAGGCTTTGCTTTTAACATAGTGTCAACCTGCTAATCTCTGTTATCACAAGTAGAGACTTGATAATGAAAGCTAATGGCGAAATATGATAGCAGAGGAAACTGTAGAGCATTTATTATACAAGTATCTCAGGTTCTTTTTTAGATTGAGAGTTAGATACAACAATAAAATGTTGACGTTATATAATTTATAATGTAACGATTTGTAAAAATACTTAAAACAATAAATCTCTTTACTGATGTTGGCAAGATCAGTTTTGTGTGAGAACTCTAAGTGGGCTTTAATTTTTGCGTGTGCCATTATACGTAACCACTTCTATCTACTGACGGCCAATGCCGTTGAATCAGTAATTTATAATATTCCTACGTCTGATATGCCATGATCACTCCAATGCGGGAGTGTCTTCTTGTGACATTGCCACATTGTTACCATTGTTATTATTATTGGGTAGCAATCATTCTCATTACATGATAAGCCCAATGTATCAGAAAGTTTCTCGATCTTTATATATGAATGTATGAATGAGTGGAGATATAGAATAAATCCAATAAAAATGAACTTTGATATAGAATAGAATCAGCAAATACCGCTGAAATTTGAGCTAAAAATAGTCATTGATAGTTTATATATATATATAAATCGAAAGAATCTAGACTTTTGTGTAGAAAAAATAAAAAATTTTTAATATTTTAGTTTAAAAGTGAATCACACTAAATTTATAAATAACAGAAAGAAAAAATATTATAAAAATTTATGCTTAAAATTTTTTAATAATAATTCATTAATTCATAATAATTAATCATAAAAAACACACTCGGGTATTTTTGAAATGAAATACCGCAAAGCTTATCTACCATTCCTTGAGTTAAGTGTGGATTCTACGCGGTGTATGAGTTCTTGCGGATGAGGTGTGATAGAAAGCGAAGTGCTTTCCGAAGGTTCATTATGCAGCAGCGGACCTAAATGCCGTATCCGTATCTGACTTTTATTGTGGCATTGTGTTTATATGTCATTGTTTAATTAATTTCGGAATATTTAGTGACGCTTTTACATATATATTTATGTCGAGGAAGCGCTGCTTATCAATTCAATTTGATTGAATTTAAATATGGTGCACTTCCGTTATACTTAGGAAAGCTGTTTATATGTAAAGGGGATTTGTGTCAAATTAATTTTTGCAAAAATTAATGCACTTCTATACTAATGCACTTCTAAATGCAGATAACAACTGCGCACTCCTGCTCGGGAACAAGTTTTGATGATACGAGAAAATGTGATTAGAGAACTTGAAGTGGGGAGGGACGTAGAGAGAAACAAGTTTATTATTAATTTACATAAATAAATTCAGTTTTTGAGATGTATTAAAATTTTAATTTATTAGCACGTGCTACAGTATAAATATCAGTAAAGCAGATACAATTAATTTATTCAAAGCAATTAGCAAGCGAGCCAATTGGCGAAAAATCATTTACGGAAAATTATAATAGAAAGGTGGCGGAAAGTATTTAAGGTGGTGTTTAAAAAAATATTAAAAATGTAATTAAACAAAAAATTATAATAACAATGTGTTTAATCTGTTTAAAAATATCTGTTAACATTCTGTAAACATTTTAAAGATAGATTAAGGATACATAATAAGTGATGAGAAATTTTTTGACAACAAAAATTTTATTACAAAAATGGAAAAACGCTGGCGATAGAATACCAGACACCTTGAAAATTCGTCTGAGTGAAGTAATGAAGACACAATCAGTTCTGGTAAGAGATATTCAAAAGAATTCTATGCTTTAAAACAAAGTTTAGAGTACGATTAAGAGATAAGAGTTTAAATAATTTTTCTCATGTTTATGCTTTTGTTAATGAAAAGCTGTTATAGCCAGTATATGACTTGAAGCCGGGTATAATTTGCTTTAGCCGAGAGTAATTAGTACTTGTAAATATTAAACGCTTTTGTTTTGAATACAATAAAAATAAATAAATTATAATATATACAATAAGTAGCAGAGACATCAGATAAGACAAATATAATTTAAATATTACACTAGGTATGAAAGATGATGGACGGATTAATATGTATCGACGAGAAAATTTTATAACTTTACAATATATAACATAACTTTACAAAAAAAAAAATGGAAAGATAAATGAGAAAAAAGTTGAGTACATTGTTATTATTGAAGAGATATATAGTTAGTTTTACAGTTTTCTGATTTAATCTATGCTCACTCCATAGAAGGAAGATTTGCAGTAAAAAAATATTGAATCAAAAAAGTGTTTTTTATTTTTTAGTTAATATTTTTTATAGAGCAGTTCCGAATATCTAATTTATTTCACTTTCGTAGATACTAATGTCCATTTGTGGTTTTTATTTAAACCAGAAATATACTAATTTACTGCTTAAAATTCACTCTTAATGTATGTTCAAACAAGAATTATTTTTAAGATATCTGGATATATACACATATCTGTATGTATACGAGTACATACTTAGATGAGCTTAAATATTTACTTTTGTTTTGTTTAAATAATCTGTGGATATGATTTTATCAATTCAAAAAACACTGTATGTTTGCAGCAGTTGTTTTTTTAGCACAAGGTTTTGACCGAAAATGTTCGCAAATAAACTGGACGCGTTTACACAGAAGGTTCCATACTTATTTAATGCTTTTTGCTTTTATCTCACCTGAAGGTGACTTCATTTAATTTATTTAAATTGGGAAAATATTTGCGGATTTCAATTAAATCTTGTCACGTTTCGTTAAATACTTGCATGTAATTATGAACACTTGAATTTGAAAATGTGTCTCTACACAAAGCACCTTTCGCGGAAATCCCGTAGTAGAACTCGAAAGTACTTTTACTAAGAATTATCAAAATCCTTTTGTTTTGGTTTTTAAGAAGCTTGAAATATTTAAAGTAATTTTTTTCCGGATTTTTTGTTGCCACTGTACACTGTACACAGAGTAAAACGAATTAAAGTTTTATAAATTTATTATTATTCTGCTGCTATTATTATTAAAATAATCGAAGATGATGTCGCTCTTTCTTCATATTCTATTGGTGAACCTGTTATTTGTTCGGTAAAGCGGTGATTTTAGATATTAATTTTAATGCTAATTATTATTGTTAATACAAAGATTAAATCGGCTTACGTCTTACGGTTTAATACGTAATCAGCAATCAGCAATAGAGTATATAAATTCATATGTGAAATGTATATAAGTGATTTCGACTAACGTAAGTCCAGCTCAGATATTTTCAAATTTGTGCGCTAATTTATATAAATTGAAATAAATTTTTTGTCACTCTCTATAATAACAATGTTGGTTGTTAGTTATTACATAAATATTTATTTTATTCTCATTAAGTTTTTTTTTCATTTTACCAACTATTTACCTACTATATAGATTTGAGATTCAAGATTTAAGTCACCACTGTAAGCGCCGCTTTAGTATGAAATTCGGTGTTGACGCGAGTACAAACTATGCCGGAATGATTTCGTAAAAAATCGCCGTGAAGAGGAATGAGTATGGGATTTCCACTATTGTATCTGATGCGAACAGATGCGAAGATGTTTGCTGCCTGACTGCCTGCAAATATCGTTACTGTCGTTCTTAGTTCTGTTGCTATTTATTTAGTTTGTTGGCTTAAAGCCGCTGATAAATGAAATTAACTTACATATTCCACCGATTTGCATAAAGCTTAAACCCCAAACGATGATAAGTCATAAATTAAATAAAAATTGTTGTTTGTTTTGTTTATTCTATTGAGTTTGGCATATTCATGGATATTAAAATTCAGCAACAGATTAGTTCAGTCATTGATAAAAAGTCGAAAGTTGACTAAGTGTGGAAAGGCGTGAAAATATTTTAAAATTATATAAATATTCAGAAGCACAAATATTAATAGAATTTTTTTTTATTGTTTCATTTTTAACACTTAAGCAATTACTATTCAGTGATAAAAAGACTATCATTTAGATTTACACAATTCTTTTAAATGCTAATAAATTTCGAAGTTATTGTTTGAAAATTCCTTATTTATACAACATTCATTATACCAAGCAGTGATAATTTTAATTGATTTTTAACAATCTAGAACTACTAATTACAAATTATACTACAACTAATGACTCACTTATTATTAGTGCAATAAATTATAATATTTCAAATGTCTTCTACATTCAAAGGATATCAATCAATTTGTCTCTGACAGGTTGGATACTGAATCTATATTTACATAAAGTGGTAACGAAACAATTAATATTAATTAATTGTGATAAACGTAAATCTATTAAAAGTCAAGGGGTTGTATGTGCCATGCCTCCCATTCGATCAATTGGGGTTCACGTTAGTTCTCTTAAAGCACTAAACATAAATTTAAGATTTATTGTATATAAGTCTGTACCTAAAATATAATATTTACACAAACAATATTTTCATATCTTAAACATTTAAATTTTTCACTTGCAAGTTATCTCCGGCAAGTAATGTAATGGTTTTTCCAATCCTTAAAATAAGTTTTAGTAAATTTTTTAACAAAGTTGATATTTATTAAAAAATCTCAGTATTACGTTCCTAGATCAGGTTCTATACATAAGAAAGAATATATGAAGAATCTATGGTCTATGATTTCGTTCTAATATAAACACAGCAAGTGAATTTGTTCTTTCATTCTTTCATAGCAAAATAACAAAACTCCGGAAAAATGTGTGAACATAAAAGTCAAGTACGGCTTTGGGTCAATTGGTTAAGGAGCGCTGACTCTGAGCTTCAAATTTGGCAGGACATGAGTTCTATTCCTGGTATTTGCATTCTCAGAAAATTATTTACGAATAATTAAATACAAGAAATATTTTCAAGACCACTGATGGTGGGTATTTGGCAATATGCGAAACAACTGTATGATCAACCAAAAATTCAGTTAATTAAAATAATAAAAAATTAAATTTTTCTTGTTGTAATTCACTGCTGTTCTAAAAACTACTTTAAAAAATCAATTTTATCTACTTTTTACAATTTTATTTACTTAGTTCTCGATAGAGAAAGAGAGAATACTGCATAACTTCGATATGTACCTAGACTTTTACTTCCTATGTAACTTCGTTTTATTAGAGTTTAATTAATATTATTTCTCAACGAGATTAGAGTAATTCAGTAATCAGTATAACTGATTAATCTAGAAAGACTTCAATAATTGTTCACATGATGCTGCGATTTTTAAGATGTTTCGGATATGTTTCTCATGTACGCCGCCTTTCAACCTCATCTTCCTTGTAATTTACTGTGATATCTCTGCCACCATTAGCAGAGAAGCGCGAAATTTTTAACTGAGTTGACATTTAATTAAGACATTTAGAGTCAAAAGGCGTTTTAGATGTAGATTGAACTGAATGCAAGAAGCTCAAAGCAGTTTTTGTGTTTGATAGTGTATATATATATTGTGGGACGTTGGAACAGCGCATCGTCCATCCAGTGGCCCCACTGAAGTGAAGGATTAGCCGAAGTAGAGCACGAAACGACTCGGGTCCTTTTTCGTCCTTCGATTCTCGGATGTCGTTATTGAGTTAAGGCTAGAGCGTCTTCCGTTCGCATAACTACATCGCTTGTTAATGCAAGCAGCTAATTTCGCTGATACTGTGTTTAACATATATTCTCGTTTTAAACCTATAGCAATAAATTCAGCATAAATTAGCAGTGGTGATCACCGTTCGGTAGCAGTCATGCATTCGAATAATATCGCATGATTACTGCGGTAATGAAATTAAGCACAGGACCCGATTCGGAAGACGCATGTGTTAACTTATACTCGTACATGTAGTTAAAAAATCTTTATTAAATAAAGAAATATTATTGCAGTTGAAGCTATATTTTAATAATATAGAATTCTTAATTTATTTTCATTTATTTTCACAAAGTTGTTCATCTCATGTTGAAGAATTTTTTCCTTTAGACAATTTTCCTCAGGGCCTGTTTTTGTATTTAAGGTTGAAATTGCACTCAAGTCTTGATATTAAAATGCAAAACAATTTAAAATTATGATTATTAAAATAAAAACAAAAACATATCTTTATTTTATTTGAAAACTATAACTTTTCATTTATGTTAGCTGAGTTGTAATAAGTACAACTAAATAACTTATTAGTGCTTGTTATTGGGCACTAAAAATTCTCCTAACTAAGAGACTGAACTAAGAGCGCATTGTGAAATACAAAAGTCACGCAAGTCTCGAATCAACATTGATGTGTGATATTGATGTGATATTGCATTAAAAGACAGGCCCTTAGGTTCCCAAATCCTAAAATGTGTAATTAAGAATAATAGTGGTTTTGAAAAAAGTAAAGTGTTAACCTTAAGTTATTTAAAAAATTTTTTAAGGTGAGAAAACTTTGTTTGCATTGTTAGAATCGGATACGACTATATAAAACAACCTCCATTCATAATTTATTGCTCTTTTGCAATTCATTATTGCAATTTATTGTTTAAATCTGAACTCATCGAAGCTGAAAAAACATCTAAAAAAATGATATGTTTAGGTTTAATTAATATATATTTAAATCAATATTTATACAATACGATATTATTTAACAATTTAGATTCTAAGTAGAAAAAATTTAATAAAAACTAAACGTTTCTAAATAATTTAAATTTGAAAAAATTCAATTCTGACGCAAACGATGCGAAACGCTGCAAAATTGTACAAAATTTCGAAGTGATTGGTTGAATAATTCATAGAATATTTGTATATTACGATTCATAGGTACGCAAACTATTTCGTAATAGGACCCACCAAAGCGATAGAAAATATGAAGTATATGAAGCCTGGTACAACGAATTTCTATTATTGATGGAAAAAATGTGTTTATCATGTAATCAATTTTTTGCTACCACGTCTCAACTGAATATACATGAACGCATAGAAAACGATTGAACTGCGTATAATTAATTTTTTTTAATTCTAATTTAATTAAAATAAAATGGAATAATTAATTAATTACAATTATGAGTATTGGTTTATGCGTTGTATATATTTTATTTAATATTTTTCATTTCATTAATTTACGAACGTACAGGTCTTTTACGTATCCGCTCTTCGCTCAACGCATGCCCGGGATGATACGTTTGTGAAGTAATTGTAGTACCCACCATTGGCAAACTATTTAAATTATCCAAAAATGAGATTTCTGAATTGCTTCTAGCCGCTCTGGTGGGTGGGAACGCTTCACCTTGATTAAGAGCAGTAAAGGGATTTCTAGAGGAATATTGTAGTAAGCCCACTGGTTCGAAGTCAAATGGTGAACTCGATGCTACTTTGAAAGGACTATCTAAATAGTCTGATTTAAACTTATCAACAGAATTAATATGATAAAATCTACTTAGTGCAGAAACTGAAGACAGACGTGGTTTATATGCATAAGAGGTGCTATGCGTATTTGGAGTGAGGTCGATACGCAAAATTCTGCAATTCGCTTCGTTTGGGTTTATGTTCTTTAAGAAATAACGTTGGAACTTAGAAGATACAGCATATATAACATTTGATTCGGACGACGTTGTACTGATATCAGCAACAAACTGTAAACGATCCTGATCGAAAGCTAGTATTGAGTGTGTGTTAGTTGTGGGATTCCAGGTAGCAATTGCAGTTTCCGTTATTGGACTGAAAATGAGGCTGTCGTCTATTGGTGATATTGCCATACCAATGCCTTGTGAAGACTTCTTACCCACCAATTTGACTTGTAATACTTGGTTTCGCGGTATAGGACCAGCACGTAAGACCTCTTTGGATATGGAAAATACACTGAAATTTAGTTTTAGAAGAATTATAATTTAATTGCTATGTTTTAAATATATTGTATTTATGTTTTACCGATCTGTTGCCAATGGTTGGAAATAAACAAGGCTTGTTTTTTTGTCAAACGTTAAACCCACTACACCATCCATTAAAATAAAACGATCGTTTAAAATTTCAGATTGAGCAAAATCTGGATCAGGAAACATGGCTGGATGCGTAAGCCGCCAAGTCACATCTCTTTCGCTATCGTATACAATAAGCGCTAGAAAAAGATAAATCAAGACATATAATTATATTGCTTACACAATTTTGTATATAATAATTTATTTTATTTTATTTCATTTCATTTTATTTTAATTTTTCAATTTAAATTAATTTTTCCATAGTTGCGATTGGAAAAACTTAATGTTAACTTGCGTGCAATATTTCCACTGCAAACAGAATATTTTGAGCATTTTCGAGTATACATTTTTTATGCTAATAAAGGTTATACAATGAATATAAACTAAATCAATTTAACAACACATTTTGACATAATTTATTCTACTCACCTGGCTCAACTGTATCTGAAATGTATACAAAAACATCATCACAATTGGCTCCTCTCGATGTAGTTTCATCAATCACCAGATTCGTAAACAATGATTCACCTCGCAATATTTCGTTGGGAAAGTCCACACGTCTTAGTACTTGATTAGTATTCAAATCAAAAATTAGAATTTTAGGCGGACACGTAACTTCAAAATCTTCCAAAGAACGTGAAACACCAGCGTCAAGTACCCATAAACGATTGCAAGAATCGATACGCATGCGATAAACGGAAATCAAAATTAAATCGCTGCAATTAAAGTCTGTGCGGCCAGAGATCGAATAAGACCAGTCCGGATATGGCTAAAAACAAAACAACAAAATAAAATTAAAAGTAAAAAATTATAAAAACAATCTGCAATACAAACCTGCAGTAGTGGAGATTCCTCAAAGTCTGTCTTCATCATAAAACTAACAGTAGCCGGTACTCCGCTGAATAATTTTGGAGTTGCTAAAAATATGCGATCGTGCGAAATTGCAATGCCCGTAGCCACAACGTTGCTTGGGTTATAAAAATTTACATCGTTCACGGGGGCATGCGGTAGGAAGTTCCAGTTTATTAAATTCCATTGCTTAGCAGTCTGAAGGTCATGTTCAGGCACACCGTTACAGAAATTACAGAAACTTATAATGACCAAGAGCAACAGTGGAACGATCTGCGCCGACAACATCGTTGAAAGCCTCGTCAAATAATTATTGCTGAACTGAAATTGAATACGAATTGAAACTAGATTGAAGCTTTCATAGTATAATTTTATAGTTTAAAATTATGATTTATGAGTAATTGTGCAGTGAACAAAACAAAATATCTGAAACCTGTAAAAATAAATCATTTTCTGAACAAATTATGCAAAAACAAAAAAAAAAATGGACTGTAGTCTTAATGAAAAGTAAAAGTCTTTAAAAATATATTGAATAGAATTTTGTGCTGTTTTTGCCAACAAAAAAAATGAGACTTAATTCTTATAGCTTGAGTCATTGATTTTTTAAATAAGAAATAAGATTTTATTTTGAGATTAGCTCTGCTATTACATTTTATTGAAATTTTTCATCGCAACCTAATCTATGGTATATATTCATATATAAAAGTGAATTCTTCTATGTTTGTTGCTTCCATAGAGACTTTTTCCTGCATTTTATGCCCTCAAAAATCATTACAATCATGAAAGTTGTAACTAATGTGGTTATTGCAGAAATTTATGTTCATCAAATCTTCTTCTTCATTCCATTCCGTTTATAGGGGAACATTGGGCCATAACTAACCTTTGCCAACTGCCACGATTTCTTGCCAGGGTTTTAATTTCTCCAAAGGTCGCTTGCTTGGGTTTCTTTCTTTAGTGTGCGCTTTTATGTTTGCCTGAGCCTTCCAAGTCTTCTGCTTCCTTGAGGATTCCACGTTAACGCTTCGTTTGGTGACTTCTTCAATGTGTGTCCGATCCATTGCCATTTATGATTTTTGATTTTATTTGCGACAGGAAGTTGGCGGCACATTGACCAGAGTTCGGAATTTTTAGAAGTACGGTGCCACCAAATTTTTAAAATCCTCCTGAGGTATTTGTTTATTAAGGTTTTAAGTTTAAGTTTGGTAGTGAGCCAGGTAAACAAACATACAGGTTTTCTATTTCAAATAATTCAACTTCTTGCAGGTCTATACCCACAAAGACTTACGGTTAAATTGGTCTAAAAACAGCTCAAATCTTAACCCATCTGAATATGTATGACCAATAATAGGAAGAAAAAAAGGCAGAGAAAAACAACTAAACAAAAAAATGTATTATTCCAAATCTGGGGTACCTGCAGTTTCTGCAGCACTCGCTGACAGGTAAATGATATCATTACGGCAATATCAGTTTACATTAATGAGTAATCGGTTGCTTATATGTCCATTTTTTGCATAATGCCCTTAAATTGGTGTGTATATAAATTGTAGTAGACTTGCTCTCCAACATTCATATTAGACAGATTTTGTCTTGTAAAATTCACAATGTGAAATAAGAAATTTACTGCAGTTTTCAAACCAACCATTGAGGAATTCTTTACATAGCCTAATTTAACATTTCGACTCTTTTAAGTAAAGTTAAATTGATCTACTTCATGAGCAGATCTAGACAAAAATTTACAAAGAAAACTGCAATTGCTAATAGTATTGGTGCTAGTATTGTTACTAGTATTGTTACTAGTATTGTTACTAGTATTTTTCACTAGTATCGTTACTAGTATTTTTCACTAGTATCGTTACTAGTATTGTTATTAGTATTTTTACTAGGGTTGTTACTAGTATTTTTTACTAGTATTGTTATTAGTATTGTATAAATCTATATTGTTTCAGAATAATTGGTGAAATGTGTATCATTTCTATATTAAAAATGAAAAGATGAAAAATTATATCTCAGCTGCGTTAATTAAAATTTTACTTAAACGAAAAATAGGAATATGTGATACCTTTTATGATATCGACTAATGATATAAATAAGACTAAAGAGACCAATATGGCATATAGTACTTTTGATATTTGGCGATTAATTAATTTTTATTTCAGTTTGACAAGATGTGCTTAAATAAATTGAATTGATTTCGAGTTCAAATCCAAGTTTGTTAAGTTGTCTGTTTGTCAACGTTTTCATTGATAAACTTGATTGACAAAACTGCACAAATATGTATTGCGAGTAGAGCAACGAAATGACTTACTTATTATTAAGATTGATCGATTTAGTTAAGTTGCTTAACTTTGAAATGCATTTGTAAATATTTTTTGATGAGAAGTTATTAGTTATAAAAACTAATAACAATTCTTAATGAACTTTACTTATAACAAATTAAATCACATTTTTACGTTATTTTTACCAATCGATTTTTCTTACATTTTGATTATTAATGAAATTCACTATCTTTTCTTATACTAAAAAATGTCTGTTTTTGACTAACGCCTATTATGGACATCACATAATAGGCTGAACACTTCTTTATTTTATGTTTTTGATCTTTCTAGTTAGACAATCGTGCAATCGTCCAATCGTGCAATCTTCATATTTACATATAAGAAACATTAAAATAATTCAGTGACTTGGATAAATCAATCTTTTTTATTTGAATTATTCAAATCTTTATATACTTTATAATTTGATGAAAATTTATGGTACATATTCGCATATCAAGGAAGTATTTTCTTTTTAAATATTACGACAAGCAAAGCATAAAATTGAAAGCGATTAAATTTATTTAAATTAAAATTTATATTATGTTTGTTATAAAATTAAATTTTTCTTCACTATTTCTTCACAGATCTTGTTTGGCTAGTAATGATTCATAATAATTGGTAGCAAACAGTCAAAAAAATAAATCTTAATTATTTCCATAAACATTTCGACGACTAAAATATGTTACAAAATTTTATTTAATTGACAAATACAAATCGACGACGGCATTAAGGAACCCATGACGTATACGTAACATTTTGAGCTGGTACAAGTTAAAGTTTAATGTAGATATTTTTGTAGTAGCATAACATTCAGACTTTATAAGTCTATTTTAATTGCAAAATTTATTATAAAAATTGTTTTTATATCAATATAATAAAAATTGTTTGTTAATAAAACTCTCACAGCAAAGTAACAAAACTCCAGAAAAATGTGTCAGTTGATTAAGGTGCGCTGACTCTGAGTTTCAAATTTGGCAGGACACGAGTTCGACTCCTGGTACTTGCAGTCTCAAAAAATTTTTTAATAATAATTAAATACAAGAATTATTTCCAAGATCAGCCAAAAATTCAATTAATTAAAATAATATAAAATGAAATTTGTGTTGTTGTAGTTCACTACTGTTCTAAAAACCTCTTTATTATCTTAATATTTTAATTACACTAATGAATTTTTATATATGAAGTGACAAGTATAGCGATCACATTTGTGTGCTCTGAATTACACAGTAAACGCTCGTTAATTCAAATCGTTTTCTAAATTACTTGTAATTACTTAATAAAAGTGTAATTGTTCTAATAATAGTTAATAAACGAAACGTTAATTTAATTTCAATTTAATCGATCATAAATTGATAAACTAGGCAAAGCAGCGAAACGGAATTATAATTCAACAACACTACAACTACGCCCAATGTGATTTATTTATCAAAATGCTACATAACACATACTCGTATTAGTTATTTTAGTTTATAAAAGTAATTTATGTGCTTCAATTTAGTTTAAGATTAGCCATAAATTATTCTCATAGAATGTTAAAAATTTCAATGCAACAAAGTTTGTTTAATCGAAACGTTTGCAGAAGTGACTGAGAAATGAGTGACTACTACTTGCTAAATTACTTTGTATTATATTATATTATATTATCTGCATACTGTTAAAAGTAGAATATTTAAAAACACCCATGGAAATAACTACTTTTTATTTATTTGTAATTTGCATTAACTTCTATTTGAAACAGGCAATATGATTTATGCCCTCTTCAAACACATTTTTATGCATACGCGCTGACAGTCAGTTTCTTAGTATCTTAGTATCTGAATATTATGAATATTATGTGTATATGAAATATGTGAAAACATAAAACTTATTTACATATATGAATTATATATTATCACACACACGCATACATACATATAATTAGTCTTAATGTGCTTTTCATTTCTTCCAGTTATCACAATTCACTTGGACTGCTTTGATTCGACTGTGGACGGCCGTGGTAATTGTTATTTTTAAATTTATTGCCAACAACATTGCCTTTAGCATTTTGTTGTTGTTGTTGATGTTGTTGTTGTTGGTTTCGTATCTTATTTGCCTTAGTTAGATACATTTTGATATTGAAAACAAATGAGAAAAAAATTAATTGTATCGGTCACATAAGGTGTACACTGTACACACGGTGTTGCATGTCATTAATTGTGGCTAATGGAAATGGTATTTTGCAAAATGCAAGCAATTTTTTTTCTATCTTTTTTCTGTTTTTTGCTGTACGTCACATTGTTGCATAATTTAGTCAATAGTAACAACAACATACGTAGCAAAAAAATATAATATATGGCATAAATGTAATGACTACACAATTGGAGGTTGCTCGAATGTGAAATTGTTAAGTTGTTAATAAAAGCGCCATCAGATGAATTTATTTTGATTTTTAAAATTTTGCATTAATAACCATTTAAATTCAGTAGGTCAATGCTGGTCCTAAGAAAACAAATTCAGTTTTTCCGTAAACCAAAATTGATGGCTTTTGATTGCGCTTTAATTGTTGTAACAAAAAAAAAATTATTTGAAATAGTTTTTAAAAGTGTGTATACTATGTATCATTATACATAAATGCTTGCAAAATGTATTTATTTCATAAATATTTTATGCATCTATTATTGTATCAAAGAAGATTTATTATATCTAATAGCTTGAAATATCTACAATAAGTGTTCATGAATTGTTATTATGTTGAAGCTAGTTGACTCAGTGCACTTAAGCACTTTTACTCTCTATTAACTGCGAGGTTTCTTCCAACCCTTCTCTACACCTTGACTGGATTATCACTTCATCAGACTAAGCAATAACTGACCTCAGACCTACATACTTCCCCGAGAAACCTGTAACCATACTGAGATTCTATTCGAAAACGGACAAGTAAGCCTGTCCATTTTCGTAAATAGTTTCCGGGCTTTATCCTTTATGTATTTTTTGATTGGATCAATCTTGACGTCCCTAAGGATGTCATACGTCTTAATAATATAAATTGTGAGACTTTCGTTTATTTTTATAATAAATTCTAAAAAGGTACAGTCAAACCTCTCTATAGCGAACCTCCCTATAACGAATTCCTCTCTATAACGAAGTTTTGTTGAAGACACAGCGATTTTTATATATTTGAACCTCTCTATAACGAAGTTCTTTGTAGGCACCAACGACTTCGTTATAGAGAGGTTTGACCGTATTTTTAAAAAAAATCGTAAACGTTTGGTAGTTTTTCTCATCTTTTAGAATTATAATTTGGTTGATACATCTTTTATAATGTACTGTCGGACGAGTCTGTGATTTGTAGTTACTATTCAATAACTGATATCAGATGTTATTGTATTAGTGTTGAATTTCAGATCATTGGTGCTTTGGTGCTGTAGTCTTCATGATAGTCACATTTCTTTTTAATGTAACATGAGTGTAAAGTTTGATTTTCTGTGGCGTTCTTGTTCAGTTCGACCTAGGTTTATATTCAAATACATACCCACTATTTGTTACATATTCGTCATATAGAACCAATCATTCTGTATATATAAAAGTTATATTCTTTTATTCAACAAATTTAGTTTTAATAGTAACGAATTTTACTACTTCCACATAAGATTTTAATTCACTTTTATGCTCCTGAATCCTAACATACCACAATTACACAGATATGTTTCCTCTAAATAAATTTATATATTTTTATTTTCTAGGTTTGAAATCTATTATCTACTACTTGTTTCAGTAGGGGAAAAACATGTAAATCGGCGGGTCGATTGAACCGTAATTATAGTTTAATATTTTTATTGTCATTGTATATGCTGGTAACGCCTTTAGTGGGACTCGCACTTTACTAACTGGTAATGTTTGATCTTAAAACAATTTACACCCTTAGTCTTAATGTCATGAAGCCATTCTGAAATAAACAAGCGCAAGTGATTTTATATATCTCCAAGTTTCATTTACAACACTACAATTAATTCTAGAACTGTTTTGAATAATTTCTATCATTAGCCATCAAAAGGTAATAAGGTATTAGAAATACTTTTTGAGTAATAGTTATTATTTTCAGCTTTCTCTTTCAATTACTAAAAAATTGCATAAAATATATATAATTCTTCCTCCCTTACTTTCTTCTTGCTTGCTATATATGCTATTGACTTTAAGAACCTTCATTTTTCTATTCAGCAAAACGCTATGACTGTTACTGATATATGGATGCACGTTATCGGTAATGTTTTGGTTTTGGTACCGGCAATGTAAAAACCGGTAGCATAAAAGATCTATTACTGATCGCAGTGATTTTCTCTACTGGCAACATATATATTCATTAACAAGTAATAACCAAAAAAATACTGGGAATATACATTCATATAATTAAGGCTACTTCTTTAAGCTACATTTTTGGGTATAAAGAGCTCTGATAAAACCTAAGTAAAATGAGAAAACTAATTACCCTACTTGATGAGAATATTATCTTGGAGAATGATATACTAAATTTTATTGAATGTTTGAATGCAAAACAAGTCGAACATTTAAGCATCAAGAACTTCAAAGAGGACCAAACGGATTATGTGGCTCGGGAAAATAAAACTTTAAACTATACACCATATCTACTTTATCAACCACGCAGGTTTACTGTAAATATTTTATCTCAAGTGTTATCTCCGGATGGTAACTAAAATACACTTTTGTGTGGTTTGGGAGGAGGCGTGACAGCTACTCAAACGTGGATGTCCATAATTAAATACTCAATCTTTCAATATATCCAGAATGTTAGAATTAAAAGAAAATAATATATTAAATATATATTAAATGGATTATTTTTATATTCACTGTTTCGTTTCTTTCACTCCTTGCTACTTGTGCTATATATTAAAGTGACAATTTCCAAAAAGTTGTTTTAATAAAATTATTTGTACTCTCCTAAGTTGAACTTGTACTAGTTCTAAACTCGGTAAGACATGTCAGCATAAGGCAGGTGGACAATTGTTGAAACTTTAAACCAGATTTCAGCATTTCTAATTAAATTCGCCAGCCTAGCCCATAAATGACAAGACAAAATAACAGATTTATTTTATTGTAACTGCCTTCATTGTAACACGCAGATCAAGTAGAACGAAGCCGAAGCGGGCTTTGGCAATGAAAGTTAGGCTTTCACTATCGGCCGTAAAATTTATTAGCATTGCCACACATTATGACCACAAATTAGAAGAAAAAATGTAAACATTTGCTAATTTTTGTCTTAGAAGATATTTATGTAAATGAAATAGTTTTAATTTGAAGTGTAGATAAGAATCTTGCCGCTAAATACTGAAATACTGAAATACTGAAGGCAGTGCCAAGTAACTTGTTTTGTGCGACTGAGCGGAATAAACATAATAGCTTAAGACATTTCAATTTTAAATGAATTCATTTAAAGAACTTGTAGTTTACTTAATCATAATACCTGCAGTAATTAAAGTAATTTGCTCAACATAAGGAAGCAATATGGTTGCATGCTTAGGCTCGACCACTTCAGCTCGCGGTCAATTTCAAATAATTCGCTGCCAAGGTTAGTACGCATATAGTAATTACTGGCGATGACAGCATCGGAGCTGCTGTGGCCATTAAGTATGCATGTGCGTTTGTGTAAGACACGATTTTTTATTTTTGAAATATTTTTCATAAATTTTTCATAAACAAAAACATTTCGAAACTGAAATGCATTATACGCAATATTTGAAAAATAATAATAAATAATAAAAATTAGATGAAGCAAGGCAGCGCAACAAAACAATACAAAGTGTAACAATTTTTTCTTTATTCCATTGTTGTCAAAAGTTCCAGCCACACGGCGACTTGAAAAGACGCTCATCGTCAACAGGTTAATGTGTCGTTTGGCGGTGGTAGATTAGCCATCGCTGAGAAGATTTGCTCTGATAGTTGAACTGAGTGCTAGAGCTGTGCTCGAGCTGTTCATAAGTATTTTAAAATGCTTCACAGCACTTTAGTGCATGTCTGTCCTTCAGTCTATGCGTGTTTCTGCGTTTCTGCGTTTCTGTCTCGTTGACTTTCCACTTAAAGTATTTAATGAGCATGCATCGCACTTATTAATTTCGCAGAGGTGTGAACACTTTTTGCCAATTTTTTTTTTAAATAAAGAAAATTTAAATTTTATTATGCAATTTAAACCATTTCTTCAAGGAACACCTTAAGCCTCGTCGTAAACATGTAAATCCTGTTTCGCAATTTTTTCAATATTTTTACCAATTGCTTCATATCTGGGTTAGTTAGCTGTTGGCCATTAACATTGTTTACTTTATTTGAATTTGGTATATATCGTTTGATATCTCGCCTTTTGCGATTATACAACCGACAATTTGAATGGAGTAGAGTGGAGTGGAGTGGAGTGAAGCGAAGGGAAGTGGAGTGGAGTGGAGTGGAGTTTGAGTAGAGGAAAAATTTAAAGTTTTATGCTATTAAACTGATGGTGAAGGGTATGCAACTATTGTGTTATTGGTTGCAGTAACCTTGCAACGCCAATGCAGTGTAGTGGGTGTGGTACTTACATATACAATTAAATAACAATCGTTGCAGCTCGAATACAAAAAACTCCTCCAGTTTTGATCGAATTTTTATTGTTGCAGAAGTTGCACAAGAATTTTCACACCAAACAAACAATTGAACAATTTTAATTTTTATATATTTTTTCAGAATATAAATGCCAAACTAGATCTCATACTGTGCTGCATTCCTAATTGATTTAACAATTATTATTATTTTTTTTTTTTTTTTTTTTTTGAAACTGTTAGTATAATTATTGACTTCTTTGAATTAAAATCTTTTAGCTTCAGTTCTGCGATTTAATTCAATTGATTTTATATTTCCTTCGACTTAGTTTTGTTACTTCCAAAGCCACAGTGATTTTAGTGACGCGAGCTGAACTGTTTCAACCGTAAAACCGACCGGCATGCGCAATTACCATAGAGCCACTGTCGCTCATACGAGGCTTGAAGCCAACTTTAAAAGACAGACAGACTTGCACTGAAGCCGAAGTAATGCATGCTTTGTCATGAAATGGTTTTGAGCTCAAACTTTGCTGCTGAAAGTGAAAAGTTCGCAGCACAAAATCATAACAATGCTGGCGAGAGAGAATTGCAAGCTCATACAATTCGCTTCACATATGAACAAGTATGCATATGAATATAAAGTCTGTCTGCGCAAGGTATTGTATTAAGTTTTAGTACAAATAATTAACATATCTTAAATGTGATATTAAATATGCGATATTAAAGCTATGTAATTTTTCTTTTGTACTGAGTATATTTAGATACCATTACCAGCCTCAACCTTCTTCCCTAAGATCTGATTTTAGTGGGTGTTAGACCTTATGCAAAGACTTTAGAAGCAGTTCACTCAATACATAAAACAACACAAAGGCACAATTTGATATATGTAAAATACTTTTATATAGCTAATTACAGTAGCATAATTAGATATTTTAGATATCATCGGATTTTAATAAAACAAAAAGAGATTTTCAAAAATAACTGAAAGTACAGTAAAAACTAGTAAAGCAATGAAAGATAAAATTTGGCAATATAGTCTTCACTTACTTCCTTGTTGTTTTACCTTTTAAAGAAATCCAATTAAAAAATAATTTTAGATTAAACGGATTCGAATAGCAAACAAAAGATAACGACAAAAATTTATTGAATTTATTTGAATTAAATAATTTTTATTGAAATTAAATAATTGTCTTTTCTTTGCTATTCGAATCCGTTTAACTTTTAAATAGTTTCTTTTCGTCATAAGGACGCGCTACTATCGGCAAGACAAAAGTAACATTATAATTATAGGTTATTGAATTTTGGTGTGATATATATAATAGTTTCACCTTAAACTTAAAACAATGAAAATAGTCAGGTCCCGATAAACATACATAACAAAAATAACAACATATCATATTTGCGTAAAGGCAATAGGTCGTTAATGCTCTAAACTATTCCGTTATAATAAATAAAACGAAAAGGAGCAGAACATGGGCTTTAAAACTAATCCAATAACTTTTGGTACTCCCAAAAAATCTTTTGATATATTTAAAAATCTCAAACTAACAAAGAAATAAAATCCATACTGTATATAACAGTTCCATACTGTTTCGACATGGAATAAAGAAGAAAATAACAAAACCTAATGATTAATCAATTGGAATAAAGCTTTAACTTAGTGTGTATTAGTATAAACGACGAATCTGTAAGTCTATAAATATGTTAATATAAAATAAAATGCTTCTTCACAGTCTTCAAGGTTGCGTCAACGAAGAAAGCTTGAATTAGCCTTTTAAAAAATACATTCAGTACGTCAGTAACTCTATTTTCATTGCGATCTTCAGATAATTACAGTTACTAAGAAAATAAGTAACTAGTAAAGGTCCACTAGTGTAGGGCGATAAAATTGAAAGAGCGCTAAAATAAAAGTTTTCCTTTCAGTCTGTTAACCCCAATCACAGTAAAACTATGAAGCTTATTCATCCTTTTTTTTACTATATATAAACAGTAAGATGTTTAATTTTATAGAGTCTTTGAACTGACATTAAGAATTATAAATAATTAAAACAAAAGTTTTCCTCTGGACTTGATAATAGCCCTTGACTCTTTAAACTGAAATTAACAGTTATAAAGAGCTAGAACAGCAGTTTGGTAGTCTGGATTTGTCATGAGGAGAATTAATAATTATGAGGAGTATTCTTTACTTCTTAAACTGAAATTATTAATTATGAAAATTTAGAACCAAATTTTATTAGTTTGTACTTCACACTCTTCGTAAGACTATGTATATATGTAATACTTACAATATTTTTTAGTTAGCTATTAAATAAGTTTTCTTTTTATGTCTGGACTGTTTTAAGAAAGTAAGAGTACAAATTCTTACCACAGAAATCGAAGTATAAACTATATTCTTAAAATTTGTAATGTAATATTCCACAAACATATGCCAGAAGCTTTAAATTTTATACAAAAATGTGTGAAATTGCACCACAATGCTTCACTCGAACCTAATGGAGTTTAACTCAAGTTGTAAAATTTCTTTCCAACAATTTGAAGAGAAGAGAAGAGGTCTGAAAAGAGATGTTAACAATTTTGTTAGCGAATCTGTAATAAAAAAGCGTAAAATATATCACTTATGCCAATTAAATTTAACCAATTTGGAAAAAAATATGAGAAAACATATTTTGGTTAGCATTGCCTGGAGGATTCATATATGGCACCCACTGTGCTGTTACCAGAGTTACTGCCCAAATCATATATTTTCAAATGCACATTTCAGTTACTGTGTTTTACAATCAAAGAAAATGTTTTAATGCACATTGCCACTTTAATTAAATAATTAAATTAATGTTTTAATTATAAAGTACAATTCAAATTACTCCGCAATTGTTTTCAATATTCGAATTGAAAAATAAACCTTTTTTTATTGCATATTTTTATTACTTTTACATTCTGAAATGAAATAATAGTTGGTTTCCAAAGCGTACTGGCATAAAAATAAAATAAATAATAATTAAGTTCGAATACGTAAACTTTGTCGAAATTGTAGATAATAAGGAATTTACAATTATGTAAAATTATCGGATAATTGTACTTGATTTTAAACCCTGAGTTTCCCCTATATACTGTAACACAATAGACCAATGGGCCTAAGTGGATTTTAGGAATTGCCGGTATAACCTAACCTAACCTAACCCATGCTTAAAAGAAACATTATAAATAATTGAATTTAGCTTCAATTACAATTATGGTATATATAAATTAATAATAAAAATTTACATTCCATGCAAATGTATGTATTCGCGGTAGTAAAAATGACAAAGTACGAACGCTTAGGATTTGAAGACATTTAGATTTTGTTTCGTTTATCGGAAAATTGCTCAAGATACTTAATATTGAGAATATCTACAATTTACTCTAATATTATTTAACTAAAACACTATGCATGTTTAAAATAAATATATACTCAATATGTATTCATTATCTACACATATCTATCTACTTATCTATCGATTTTACTTATACTGTCAAGAAATAAACAACAACTCCAAAACCCGTAGACTACGTAAAATCCTATCTAAGAATCCATCCGTCCCTGAGTTATTAAAAAAACCTGATGGGACATAGTCTAACAACAGTAGCGAATCATTGGAACTACTACTAGATACTCACTTTCCGGGATCCTCTGCTTCGACAATTGCATCCACGGAGTGCCTAAGTTTCTCACCGATTAACTCTATTAAAGTGAATCTTACCTATAGATAATTAAATGAGCCATTTTTAGTTTCAAACCCTATAAATCACCAGGACCGGATGATATGAGTTCCTCAATTCCTGAGAGCTACTATACCACAAGCTTGTGGTCATCTTTAGATATTTTGTCATTTTTAACTATGTTCCAACCAAATGGAGGGAGGTTAGAGTAGTTTTTATCCAATGAACTCCGCCCAAAAAGCCTTTCGTTTTTCATATTGAAGGCTCTTAAAAGAATTATAGATTTAGAACTAAGGTGTGTTGTAAATCCCAACCAGTGGTCTCCCTCAAAGCACGCCTACATCAATCAGTTGCTAAGTGGCAGATTTATTGAAGCGAAGAGTGAACAGAGGTACCCCCAAGGGGAAGTACTCTCCCCTCTCCTCTAGAACATAGTCGTGAATGAACTGCTCATAAAACTGAGGACAGAGATCTGGGAAACTATTGCTTATGAGGATAATTTTACGATAGCAGTCACCGACAAATATACTTCTACTCTTAGGGATATACTGCAAAACGGTCATAATATCCTTAACAAATGGACACAAAAATGTGGCCTTGGGGTTAATCCCAACAAAATCGAAATCGTAGTTTTCACCAAAAAGAATACGATCCTTTGTCTTTCTCCACCCTCTCTGCGAGGTTCTGTATTACATTACAAGGAGGAAGGCAAATGTCTAGATTATGTTTTCGACAGTAAACTAACATGGAAGCAAAACACCAAAAGCCTATTCGTAAGAAATGGGGACTACAACCACGCATCACTCAATGGTTCTATATAGTTGTCATTAGGCTCAAACTCTTGTATGGTATTATAAATTAACTCATTGTTAATTGGATACGGAAGCAACACTTTTTGCTCGCACATCACAAAGGAGCTGGAAAACGTAGGACACGTTTTGTTTTACTGCAATCGATTTGAAGTGGACCGTACAGAGATAACTTTTATTTTCAGGACATCACGTAAAACAGAATGAAATTCAATATTCACGACGGTTCCTCATAAAATACTTAACATATCGTGCATACTAGGAGGATACAACTGTTCGGACGGAGGAGATGTTAGCTGGTTAAAGTTTCGCCATACCCTAGACTTTATATAAAGCCTACTCTTATTAGTATTTTTAGAATATTCAAGTAGCTATGTTGATCTAATTACCACGTAAAGCAATGATATAATAGATGATCCACAAATTTTGGAGCATGAATCAGTTCACATCACTGACAAGTTATTTGCATCTCCTCCATTAATGGGTTTGCCTTCAGTTGTTTAATTAGACGCAATCTATGTAATATTTATTGATTTGGTAAGCGTTCAATTAACGATTGTCCATTTGAGTTATTTATGAGGCGTTAGTGAAGTAGTTTTGGAACGAACTCGTACTACAAGGCCTGCAGTAAAAAAATTAAAACTGTTGTCAATAAATTTTTCTCTTTAAATTCATTTAATGTCTTCAGTTTAGAAATTAGAATGAAAT